AAGCGTTCCTCCCTCACACAGTACCTCTGAGCTCGCCTTGTCCCAAACTGCAGAGACGAGACATGCTTTGCTACTCAACACGGCGTAATCATGAGAAGCCACTCCTACCGCCCTCCCTCCAACACATGCACAGTTCTGGGACCCATGAGTTCAGCTATAGAAGCAGCATCGCCAACCATCCCTGTCACACAGGTGGGGAAAGTGCCAGGGGCTTCCACCAGGCCCTCCTTACAGCCACCACCGTCGCTCCACAGATGTAAAATCAATGAGGGACCTGTGGCCAGCTGCCATCACTTGGAGATTTAGAGCAGAACTCATACCCTGGAGGATGGTGCCTCCCTACTCAGCGCTGCCACTCGGCTGGGACCATCGGAGTCTGACGGGCTCCCCGCAGTCCGCAGTCCGGCTGCTCCAGGACACAGGGCCCGTGGTGTTACCAGTAAATGACCCAAGTGGAAGCCCACTGCGCAGCTCATTTCCTGTCCCATGAGCGCCCGCTCAGCAGCAGTGTGTGATAAGCATGACGACAGCGATAGGGAGCATGCAGTACGTTCACAGACGGAGGACTGGCAGGAATTCTGGAGAGCAAGTCCACTCCAGCTCCAGTGGGAACGGAGCGCTGCCCCTTCGCGGGGAAGCTGGCCAGGGAGCCGCCTGCTGCCCGGCGCTGGCGGACTCCTTGTTGGGCTCTGACTGCGTGGAAACACCGGGCGCCCAGAGGGGCTTGGTCAGATGGCACCGGGTAGCCCGGCAGAACGTCCATCTCTGTCCCCGAGACAAGGACAAGGACGCAGAGCGGCCGTCTTGTCCGTTGGCTGAGCAGGTCCTCCAGTTTCTCAGGGCGTTCGCTCTCCGCGCAGGTCCGTTTCCTCCCAGCACCTCGGTACCAAATCCCCACTCTTGTTCTTCCAAGTCCCGGCCACTGACTTGCTTACAAATGTCTGCAGCTCCACACCATCAGCTCTCATTCCCCGAGTGGGGAAGCAGGTGCACGGCTCCAGATTCCGCCTGCGCAAGGTGCCGCTTTCCCATGCCCGTCAGCCCCGAGGTGCCTGCGGCTGTCCCCTGGGGGGCGCTGTCAGCCACCTGGAAGTCTGCTCCAACATCTCCCCCCAAATGTGTAGCAGAGAAGTCCCCACGAGTTGGTAGACACAGGCAGAAGGGAGGAGGCGCAAGGAGGAGCGTGAGACCCTGAGCCACTTGCTCACGGACCGCTCTCTGCCGTCAGGACCCGCCTGAGCCCAGCTCCTTACACACCAGGCTCCCCCAGGGCTCACAGAGCTGCTGTGCACACCCCACTTCCCGGCTCAGTGTCATGCAATCGTACACGTGACTCTCTCACCTGGACACCTGTTTCGGTCCAGTCACAGGTTCTACCCTCACTCAGGGGAGAGGGTTCTCCAGAACAGAACTCAGGGGACGGCCCGTCGGTGTGTCTGGCATGGCCTGTGCGCCCAGACGTCTGATCCAAACTGCCCAGACACCGCAAGGCCGCAAGGCCTTTGACGTGGAGGGTAGGTCACTGGGTACCAGACACCCTGCAATTGCCAGGACTCAGGACAGGTCTGGGCTCAGAAGCAAAGGCAAGACGACCGTGGGAGAGAGAGCGTCCTCCTCTCCTCGGGCAGGCGGCCACCTCTTGACACAAGCAGCCCAGGAGATGGGTGAGGAGCCGGCTCAGCTCCCTGTCCTCACCTCGGCTTGGAAGGGCCCAGTCTCTTTCCCGAGTGATGCCCCACCTCTCACATGGGAAACGCCTCCAGTGATGGGCCCACAGAAGTCTGCAGGGAGGGCAGGTCTCAGGCCCGACTTCACATTCCCCCACCAAGTGCAGGGAGAGCAGCTGGCCCCTGGGGCCCATACTTCCCTCGCCATTAAAGAGCCCCACCTGCCTGCTGGGGGCATTGACGCTGGCCTCAGAGGCACAGGGCCTGGGTGATGGGCGGCCGCTCAATTAGAAAGTTGAGCAACCACGGGTTTTGTAAGCTGCTCATGTATTTTCCTGGTGCTTAATCTTTACAATTCCTGGTAGTTTTTGCATTCTGACATAGCTTTGCGGTGTAAGCAGGAAGTGTGCGGTGGCGGAGACCCTGCCCTTATGCCTTTCACAGCTCAGAAATGCAGAGGGTGATCACTGTTTTGTTTGTTGAGCTTTATTGCTATTGCCCTTCGTTCC